TTTTAGGGCTTTTATGTGCATTGAGTTTTTGCATAGTGTGAGATGGACACGAGGAACATCAAAGAGTGATCTGTGCCTTGTGTTATGGTCATGTGTTCTGTTGAGGTTGGCAAGGAGATGTTTGAGGGGAAGGTTAATATCAGAGTTAAGTGTTCTATGTATGTAATAGGTGCAGTAATAAGGATGGATGTTTTGTATGGTGAGTAGGTTTAGTGTATTGAATATTGGTGGAGTGTGCTGCCTATAGTGAGAATTTGTTATCATTCTAACTGCAGCCTTTGTTGGGTAATTAGTGGTCTGAGATGGTTACTTGTTGTTGAGCCCCATGCACAAATTCCATAGGTGAGATAGGGGTAAATAAGAGAGTGATATAGGGCCAGGAGGGCTGACTGTGGAGCATAGTACCGTATCTTCGATAGTATGCCTACAGTCTTGGAAATTTCTTAGAAATTTGTTGTATATGTGTATGAAATTTGAGTCTATTATCAAGGTGGATTCCTAAGAATTTTCCCTCTGTTAGCTTTGTGATAGGTGATCCGTTTATCATTATGTTAAGAGGGACATCTGTAGCTCTGTTACCAAACTGAATGAAGTAGGTTTTGTCAATGTTTAGTGTAAGTTTGTTAGTCCTCATCCAGGTAGATATTTCTGTAATTCGGTATTTACAGTATTGGCTAGCGTGACTGGCTCGGGGGGGAGAAGACGTATGTAGTGTCATCTGCAAATAGTGTGGGTTTGAGTAATAGCGAAGCATTTGGTAGGTCATTTATGTATAGGAGAAAGAGAAGAGGGCCAAGGACACTTCCCTGTGGGACACCAACTGTAATTGGTTGTGCAGAAGAGTTTGCCCCATTTGCATACACATATTGGCTTCTGTTGCTGAGGTATGACTTGAGGTAGTTGAGGGAGTGCCCTCTTATACCATAGTGTGACAATTTTACGTGCAGCAAGTCATGGTTAACTGTATCAAAAGCTTTACGTAAGTCAATGAAGATCCCCAGTGGGACTTCTTTTTTCTCGATTGCAGTGTATATATGTTCTAGCATGTGTATAATAGCATCATTAGTATTTTTATTTGGCCTGAATCCAAATTGGCAGGGGTTGAGTATGTTTTGGGAGATAAGGTAGGAGTAGATTCGTTTATGAATTAATTTTTCGAAGATTTTTGAGAGAGGGTGTAAGTTGGATATTGGCCTATAGTTATTCAACTCTGTTTGGTCTCCTCCTTTGTGGATCGGGGTGACCCTTGCTATTTTGAGTACTGTGGGGAAGGTGGAGGATTCAATGGATTTGTTAAAGAGTGTTGCAATGATTGGTGATAGCACTTGTGACACTTTTTTGTATATAAAGGGTGGTAAGGTATTTAAATCTCCTGCCTTGTTTTTTAGTGTGTTGATAATAAGGGAGACTTCGTATGGGTTAGTCGGAGCTGGGAACAGTGTGTTCGGGTAGTTGCCGGTGAGGTAGTCATTTGGTGGGGTATCTGAGCTTGGGATTTTATTGGCAAGGTTTTGTCCTATAGTGGAGAAGTAGTCATTGAGTCTGTTTGCTGTTTCTGTTGGTGGGAGTTGGGGTTCATCTGATTTTGCTAATTTTATTTCGCTATTTCGTGATATCTTTTTTGTTCCTAGAATTTCTGATAGGGTTTTCCAGGTCTTTTTTATATCACCTCGTAAGTTGGATAATCTGTTCTCATAATACAATTTTTTTGCCCTTCTTATCAGGCTGGTTAGGATTGACGAGTAACGTTTTGTTTGGTCTCTGGTTATGTGACCCATTCTGTACTGTTTTTCATATTGGTGTTTTGTATTTATGGATTTGAGAATGCTGGGTGTTAACCAGGGACTGTTCAGTCTCTTAGCTGTCATCTGTTTAGTTTTTTTAGGGCAGTGCTTGTTATAGAGGTATTGGGTCTATTTTAGAAAATTATTAATACATTCGTCAATATCTGTATAGATTTCTAGCTCAGTGTGCCAGTCAATGTTTGCTACTGCTGTTGTGAAGTTATTAATGGCTGCCTCATTGTGAAGTTTGAAGGTGACTTTAGTAGTGTCTTGGAGTAATTTACCAAGAGTTATGAGAAAAGTAGGGTAGTGGTCTGTGGTATTATCTGTAATTATGCCTGATTTTAAAGGGGATATGGTGTTGGTCCAGATGTGGTCAAGTAGGGAAACACTAGTCTCTGTAACTCTTGTAGGTTTTGTTACTGTTGGTAGCAACATACAGTTACTCATTGTGTTTGTGAATTCAGTAACGTGTGGGTCCTGGTCTTGCAGGAGATTTATATTGAAGTCACCTGAGAGTAGTAAGTGATCTTTGTTCATGCGTGCATCAGTTATCATACTTCCTAGGTTTTGACTAAATTGGCTAATGTTTGACTGTGGAACTCTGTAGATGTTTATCAATGTGAGAGGTTTTTGTAGGTATTTGGATTTGAATTTGGCTATTATATATTCCCCATGTTCATCCCTTGTGCAAGTATTAGTGATACATTCTAGTTGGTCTGAGTAGTATATGGCTGTGCCACCCCCTTGTTGGTCTGGCCTACAGTTGTGTATGGCTCTGTAACCAGGAATGGCATAGACATCTGTACTATCAGGCTTTAGCCAGGTTTCAGTTAGTGTAATGATGGACATATTGGCATGTAAGGAATTTAGTAATGCTATGAGGTCATCGTAATGCTTGCTTAAAGATCTGATATTGTAGTTAAAGATAGTTATGTTGTTGTTGGCACTGAGAAGTGCCTTTGATTGTTCTGCAGTGTAGTAATTACAGTAACTGTTTGATTCATTTAAGTCATTAAATAAGAGGTTGGTATCAGGATCAGTGCTTGTAATCATAAGATTTGTAGTGAATCTATAGTTAGAATTAAGTATAAACAAAGTAAATAGTCTTAAGCTAAAAAATAGCACCTGAATTATTTAACAAATGTAAAATAATGAGCTAAGGTAGTTTTTTTTTTTTAAGCTAAAATAAAGGAGACAATATAAAAGGGACTAATACAAATAAAGTGATGATCAAATAATGGAGCTTGGGAATATGATAGTAGGTAGTACTATAAAGGTAATTCTTTAAAGTTAGAATTATAGTATAAAATAATAATATAAAAGGGACTAATATAAGTTATGGTGAACAATAAAGTGGTAATCAAATAAATGAGCTTTGGAATATAATGGCAAAATTGTGAACTTATTCTACTTTAGCACCTGAGAATAGCACCTTGATTATTTTAACAATTGTGAATATATAAACTAGGGTAGTTATATAAAGCTAAAATAAAGGAGAAAATATATAAGGGACTAAAATTAAGTAATGGTAAACAAAGTTAAATGGACAGGTGGTCACTATGAAATAATATTGGTTTAGGAGTAAGATCTGATTTGTAATATTAAATAAATTGAGCAGTTTATTGCACAATAAAAGTAAAAAAAATGAGGTAGTTGGTACTAGCTAGCAAAAGATAGTTTTGGTACTTGCAAAAAAGTAATTGGAATATACACTAATTGCATACACAATGAAAAGTGACTAAAAAACAAGTAGTGATAAACAAAATTAAATGGACAGGTAAGAATAATGAATATTATTAATTTGGAGTAAGATTTGACTTGTAATTTAAAATTATGAGCAATTAATAGCAGTAAGAAAGAAGTATAGAGTATTGGAGGTATTTCATTTGCTAGTGATGAAAAATAATAAAAATAATAATGTACAATATAATAGTAACGTACACTATATGCACCACACGTATATATGTATTAAGGGCACTTATCTAATCTGTTAAAGAAATGTCAGCTTTTCTAAGGAAGGTAGAGAAATCGTGTTCGTTTGAGATAGTATATTGTTGTCCTGTTGATGTTTTCCTTACTAGTATTTTCCCATGGAGAGTAGGATAGCAGATGAAGAAGGAGGCTTTAGGAAATGTAGGGGGTGTGTAGATTGAGTGTTTACAGTGAAATACATAGGTGAACAGTATTTAGATAAGGGTAAAGAGGTTTTTGTGGCATTTATGGATTTCGACAAGGCGTATGCATATGACAGGGTGGATAGGGGAGCAGTGTGGTAGATCTTACAAATGTATGGAATTGGAGGTAGGTTACTGAAAGCAGTGTAGAGCTTTTACAAGGATAATGAGGCTCAGGTTAGAGTATATAGGAGAGAGGGAGATTATTTCCCAGTAAAAGTAGGCCTTAGACAAGGATGTGTGATGTCACTATGGTTGTTCAGTATATTTATGGATGGGGTTGTAAGAAAAGCGAATGCTCGGGTGTTGGCAAGAGGTGTGGGGTTAAAAGATAAAGAATTTAACACAAAGTAGGAGTTGTCACAGTTGCTCTTTGCTGATGACACTGTGTTTTTGTGATATTCTGAAGAGAAGTTGTAGAGGTTGGTGGATGAGTTTGGTAGGGTATGTAAGAAAATTAAAAGTGAATATAAGAAAGAGTAAGGTGATAAGGATAACAAAAAAATTAGATTACAAAAGATTGGATATCAGATTGGAGGGAGAGAGTGTGGAGGAGGTGAATGTATTTAGATATTTAGGAGTGGATGTGTCGGCAGATGGGTCTACGAAAGATGAGGTGAATCACAAAATTGATGAAGGGGGAAGGTGAGTGGTGCACTTAGGAGTCTGTCGAGACAAAGAACTTTGCCCATGGCAGCAAAGAGGGTAATGTATGAGAGTACAATGGACCCTCGGTTATCTGCCATTCTGGATGTTGGCTAATTCGGATTTAGGCTGATTTTTTGGCCAAAATTCTAATTTAGATTTCGACTGGCAACTTGGAAATTGGCAGTATTGGACGCGTCTGCCCGCCTCTCCGCATGTTCCTGAGTCAGTCTGGCTGTGTCTCTGGGTGAGTGAGCAAGGCTCTGTGCATTCATCCAAACATTTCGTTATAATCCATTGTTTTTTTACGTCATTGAGTGTAACAGCGAAATAAGCCACCATGGGCCCAAAGAAAGTTCCTAGTTCCAGCCCTTTGGTAAAGAAAGTGAGAAACATGATAGAATCCAAGAAAGAACTTATAGCAAAGTATGAGAGTGGTGTACATGTCTTGGAGCTTGCTAGGATGTGTTGGAAATCCAAATAAACAATCACTTCCATCCTGGCAAAGAAAGTAGAAATCAAGGAAGCTAATGTTGCAAAAAAGGTAAATATGATAAAAAAATCACCAGTAATTAACCCTTTGACTGTTTCAGGCCCCTCTCTGAAACTGTCATTCTATGTCGCTCAATTTTTTAAAAAAAAAAAATTATTTTTTCTTATGAAATGATAGAGAATCTTTTCCCGATGGTAATGACACCAAAAGTTCGAAATTTGGTCGAAAACTCGTGGAATTATGCTCCCGCGAAGTTAGCGGTCTCGGCGACATATGCGTATCGGCGATTTCGCCGACTTTGAGCCCAATTTTCAGCCAATTCCGTTGTTCCAGTTGACCAAACTCATAGCTATTTCTTTAGAACTCCATTTTATCTATCAGCTGAGTACAAGAAACCTCCCATTTACTAATTTGGACTACCCAATATGGTGGTCAGAAATTGGCAATTTGGCCAATTTCACGCAAAATAAAAAAGATGCCAGTTTCAAAATAGGGTCCAGAATAAACAAGGTAGACATTCGTGGCACTAAAATAACATATGCTCTGTTCATTAGTCACATCTCTAGGCCCCTCTTATATTATTATTGCTTTCTATTTTGATTTTTTATTCATACAAAAAAAATACAAAATTTACTGTTATGCAGACGACTGCATTATTGTAAAAATGGTATAAATAATATCAGTGCACTAGTGAAAGAATATTAGACTCCCCAGTTGACGTGTATTGGACGTGTGGTGTGATTTATTTACTCTTGAACATTGGTAAAAATCGAACATTTCCGCTACTTTGAGCTCAGTTTCAAGGTCGTTTTCATCGTAAAAGTAATGAAAATCATCTTTATTTCTGTAATATGTTTTCCATTTTATCACCTAAGATCATGAAAATGCGAATACAACGATAAATACTATACGAAAATACACCTCAAAGTCGGCGTTTTATTCCAAAAAAACGATCAGTTTTTTTTTCTCATTACGCAATGTGTGCTGCAGGATTTTTTTTATGTGGTGCACACTGACCACACAGACCCATTCTCTCACATGTGGGCCTACCAGCTTTCTCCCACTTGATTTGAAGCCGCTAGAATTATTGAGTATATATACGTCAGAAACATTGGCTCGTAAGACATATTTATACATCGAAAACAGTCAAAGGGTTAAAGATGTGGAGAAATTATTGTTGGTGTTGCTCGACAATAAACAATTAGTGGGAGATAGTGTTGTAGAGTCGATCATTTGTGAAAAAGGAAGGCAGTTGCATGCGGATCTCATGAATAAAATGCCTGGAACGAGTGCTGCTGTTGGTGAATTTGAGGGCAGCAAAGGCTGGTTTGAGAGATGTAAGAAGCGTAGTGGCATACACAGTGTGGCAAGGCATGGCAAGGCTGCAAGTTCAGACAAACGTGCGGCTGAAGAATTTGTGCATGAATTCAAGGATTACGTAGAGGCTGAAGGATTCCTCCCACAACAAGTGTTTAATTGTGATGAAACAGGCCTCTTTTGGAAGAAAATGCCAAAGAGGACTTACATCACACAGGATAAAAAGGCACTGCCAGGACACAAACCTATGAAGGATATGCTTACTCTTTTGTTCTGTGGTAATGCTAGTGGGGATTTCCAAGTGAAGCCTTTACTAGTGTATCACTGAAAATCCCAGAGTGTTCAGGAAAAACAGTGTTGTCAAGAGTAAATTGTGTGTGTTGTGGAAACCTAATAATAAGGCACGGGTCACAATGCAAATTTTCATTACTGGTTCATGAAGTGTTTGGCCAGAGTGTGAAAAAATACCTCCAGGAAAATAAATTGCCTCTCAAGTGCCTCCTGGTACTGGACAGTGCTCCTATCCTCCAAACTTGGTAGACCAATTGTCTGTGGAGTTAAGTTTTATAACAGTGAAGTTCTTGCCTCCTAACACCACTCCTCTCATCCAGCCCATGGACCAGTAGGTCATTTCTAACTTAAAACAAAAATACAGGAAAGCAGTGTCTCAAAGGTGCTTTGAAGTGACCTTGGACGCTGTCTTGACCGAAAGAGAGTTCTGGAGGAATCACTTCAGTATCCTCAAACGCATAAGCCTTATAGGTAAGGCTTGACAGGGAGTGATTTCCAGGACTTTGAACTCTGCTTGGAGAAAGTTGTGGCCAGAATGTGTCCAAGAGAAGGATTTTGAAGGGTTTGAGGCTGACCCTGACCCTGTCGACCCTCTGCCTGTTGTGGAGTCTATTGTGGCTTTGGGGAAGTCCGTGGGGTTGGATGTGAGTAGCCAGGATGTGGAACAGTTGGTGGAGGACCACAGGGAAGAACTAAGCACTGAAGAGCTGGAAGACCTTCAACTGGAACAGAAACAGACTGCAGCTGAGGAACTTGCTTCAGAGGAGGAGGAAGAGAGAGGGGAGAATGTGCCTTCTTCAGTGATTAAGGACATGTGTGCAAAGTGGAGTGAGTTGCAAAGTTTTATGGAGAAACATCGCCCTGACCAGCTCAAACAAGCTATATCTGCAACATGTTCAGTGACAAAACCTTGTCCCACTTTGGGCAAATCTTAGAGACACCAGAAACAGAGCTCTCTGGACAGATTTTTTGTGAGACAGGGGTCCAGTGACTCAAGCTAATCCTTGTGGCAGTAAAAGACAAAGAAAGGAAGTAACCCCAGAGAGGACTTTGATATCTGAAGTCCTTATGGAGGAGGATTTCCCTTCCTGCCAAACAATAAGCTCTCCTCCCTCCCTGCCTCCTCACCTTCTTCCACATGCCAACAAGTGTCTTCAATAAAGGTATGAAATGTTCATTTATTAGTAAAATTAGTGCTTTATATTTCTTTCTCATTGTTTTGTGTATGTAAAACTATAGTTAATCTTTGAAAATGTGCTTTTTGTTAATATTTTTGGGTGTCTGGAACGGATTGTATTTACATTAATTCTTTTGGGAAATATTATTTTGGTTTTCGGCCTTTTCGGATTTAGGCCGACCTTCTGGAACGGATTACGGCTGATAACTGAGGGTCCACTGTATAGTTATATCAACTCTTATATAGGTGTGAAACATGGGTGGTGAATGTTGCAACAAGGAGAAGGCTGGAGGCAGTGGAGATGTCATGTCTGAGAGCAGTGTCTGGTATGAATATAATGCAGAGAATTTATAGTTTGGAAATTAGAAGGTGCTGGATTACCAAAACTATTATCCAGAGGGCTGAGGAGGGGTTGTTGAGGTGGTTTGGACATGTATAGAGGTTGGAACAAAATAGAATGACTTTGAGAGTGTATAAATCTGTAGTGGTGGGAAGGTGGGGTAGGGGTCGGCCTAGGAAAGGTTGGGGGGAGGGGGCAAAGGAGGTTTTGTGTGTGAGGGGCTTGGACTTCCAGCAAGCATTCACGAGTGTGTTATTTAGGAGCGACTGGAGACGTGTGGTTTTTAGGACTTGATGTGCTGTTGGAGTGTGAGCAAGGTAACATTTATGAAAGGAATCAGGAAAACCAGCAGGGCAGACTTGAGTCCTGGAGATGGGAAGTACAGTGTCTGCACTCTGAAGGAGGGGTGTTAATGTTGCAGTTTTATAACTGTAGTGTAAGCACAGCTCTGGCAAGACAGTGATGGAGTGAATGATGATGAAAGTTTTTTCTTTTTCGGGCCACCCTGTCTTGGTGGGAGATGGCCGATGTGTTAATATTACAATAAAAATATTATATGTGGGTGGGGTGGCCTGGCTGGCTACCATACCAAGCACACCTGACTTCTTACAATAAATACTACTCACCTCTCACCCTACATTAAGGCTACAAATATTTTAAGGTAAGTAATGAGTGTACTGTGTATGTATTTTACTTTTTGTTTTTAATGCCTAGTTCTATTGCTAACTTAATATATGTTAGTGTAAAGTTATCTGGCATTTATATGCATTTATAAGTGGAGAAAAATGGCATTCTGCTTTCTGGTGATATCCGCTTTCTGGTGGTAGCCTGGAATCTAACCTGCCGTATGAGTGGGGCCCTTCTGTATACAGGTCTTCCTCCACATTTGCTAGGGTTAGGGGATCACTAACCTCGCGAATGTTGAAAAATCACGAATGTTTGGTGCACAAATATATTGTAGGGAAATATAATAATAGCATTTACTGAGCCTAACAATACTGCTTCCTTAACCTATTGAACCATGAACAGTCATAACACACATGAAAATATTGTACTAGTGCCAGCCCTTTGGTAAAGAAGGTATGAAAGACTATAGAATTCAAGAAAGAACTCATAGCAAAGTACCAAAGTGGAGGAGGAGGACAGAGGGGAGAATGTGTCTTCATCAGTGATTCTGTGATATGTATAATACTAAAGCAGCACTAGTCGATAAAGGCTATAGCGCCAGTCAGCAATGAAGTGTAGCATTAACAGTGTAGCAAGTAAGTTAAGCGATTAATAAATAGAAAACGGACAGCACGAACCTAACTCCTCCAATGTTGTTGGTGGTATATAGGGCTACTGAGAACACTGCCACCTCTGCTGGTCTTCACCACCACTATGTACAGCTTATGCTCTCAGTGGCCCTTATACACCCAACAACAACAACACAACACCACTCGTTAATATTGTTATTAATATTAATAATGAGTGGTTATTACTGTTATTAATATTGTTATTACTATTATTAGTATTGTTTATTATGTCATATTAGATCAATTGTGATAGATAAGCTGTAGAGTTGATATTAGTGTCATATTAAAGGACTATCTTGTCCTGCCTCCAAACAAACTCTGCCACCACCACAATTCCTAACATACATAAAGACACATTTTAAATATGATTGGGCTGCTGGGCATTCGCGAATGTTCGAAGCCCGCGAAAGTGGAATTCGCGAATGTGGAGGGAGACCTGTGCATATAGTTAATCACTGGACATGTTCCCAACACTGCTGCAATTTGTAGAACTCTCTGAAACATCGTGTCATGCACAGTGGTGTTTACACTCCTCTCATTTTTGTGGGCGTTTTGTTGTATTTGCACAGACAAAACATCTGAGCCCATTTCTTCTTAGTAGAGGGAAGTGTTACTAAGTAGTGATTACCATGCCTTATACAAGAGGGTATTTGATTATCAGATCGTGGGCAGTTTTGTATTGCACGTATTGTGACCTGGTACTAGAATAATTGTCTTTGATGGGAAATAAAATCTATGGATGTATTCATTATAAATTTAGTCACTGGCAGTAGTAAAAATAAAATAAAAATGTTGAATAAGTAAATAGATTTTAAACTTGCTCTGATAATTTAAAAAACAAATTTACATAGCATCTAAACAGTTTTTATGTTCTAAATTTTTTAAAGTTACATGTTTGTTTCCTCTCTCTTAGTAGACAATTTCAGATTTTTGCCAGTGTAGTCTGGTTATGTGAAATGTGATATGCACGGTATGCAATACAGTACCTGGGATTCTAGTTTCTCTGTTCTCTTTAATTTTTATGCTTGAGATGTCTAAATGTGTATGGATACTGTAATAATATATTTAATTTTTCTTATTCAGAGGTAAGCGAAAGTGGCAGCAGCCTCAGTGGTGTGGAGGGTCGTTCTCCTGTACCACCACCTGATGCACAGAGTAATGGCAGTGGGAAAAATTCTGTTATCATCAATGCTTCAGAGAAGCGTTCATTTTACTCCAGAATCCCACCACTTGCTAAATCTGCCAGCAATGAAGTCAGACGATTATCATCTAAAGACTATTCTGAAGCAAAAATTGGTATTTTATTTGATCAATACAAGGACAGTCAATGTGACTTCATCCTCTCAGAAGGAATTGAACATCTCTGCATGGATTTAGATGTTAAACCTGAAGAATTTAAAGTGTTAGTTCTGGCATGGAAATTTGGGGCTGAGACAATGTGCAGGTTTAGTAGAGGAGAGTTTGTGCATGGATGCAAAGCCCTCAGAGTGGATTCTATAAAAGGTATACAGTCCAAATTTTCAGATATGCTGCTTGAGGTCCAGGATCCAGAGAAATTCAAAGACCTGTATAGATTCACTTTTAAGTTTGGCCTGGATGCTGATGCCAGCCAACGAATCCTACCGTCCGACATGGCAGTGCTGCTATGGAAGCTTGTTTTTTCACAGTGTGAGCCTTCTATTTTGAAGAGATGGTTGACGTTTCTTGAAAGACATCCAAATATCCGGGGCATTCCCAGAGATACCTGGAATATGTTCCTAAATTTTACAGAAGCTGTAGGGGATGATTTAAGCTCATATGATGATACAGAAGCTTGGCCTAGCCTTTTTGATGACTTTGTTGAATATGAAAATGATCAATTGAACCAAAATATAACGAAGGATCTAAAAGAAGAAAGCGAATAATGTCATTTAAGTACTAGGAAAGAATTGTTCATATGTGAAGATGTTTGGTGATATTTTTTCAGAAGATATGAGTGAATTTTGTCCTTTTTGTCTTTCTACAAAGTGCTCATTTTTAATATAGTTTAGAAAGTTTTGCTCCACTATTGCCATGACCTTAATTATATATGAATGATATAAGATACTTAATACAGTGCTATGATTAACATCTTGAAAGGTTGCTTGAGAATGATGTATCCTACTGCTGCTTAGGGGACACATGTGCATTCCTGATGATGTATACTAATATAATGTGTTCATTGTGTGAAATGTATTGACAAGCAAACTGCCAGCAGATGGGTAAAACAAAGACACTTGACACTATGGCACAAGTAAAAACTTTTGAATCTCGTATTGATAAAATTCACGCTTGAATAAATCATCATTCTTTATTAGCTCGTCTTTCTAAGTGTTTTTGTTTTACTCATATGATTTTATTCTTAGTACAGTATAAGCCAGAAAAATAAGCATTTTTATTTTTTGTGTCCCCTGAGTTTTCCCATGTATTTTACTTTCTAGAGCATATTTGTTTTCTACTGTTGGATGTAGAAAACTCACAGGCTACATACATTTAATGATAATGTAATTATAAAGTTCTTGATATCTGTTGAAAAAATTATATTATCTGTAATAAGTATGAAATATCAATTTGCAAATTTTCTATACATTGTATATATTATTGTAAAATATACTTTGGTTACATTTTTCTTTTTTGTCCAGTTGCCAAATCAACGTAAAAATGGCAACTTCATTACCTAGGAGTCAAATAATGCCTCCAGCTGGTATGGGTAATAGCTTACCCATACCACCTGGAAAAATACAGAAAGTAAATTGATTTCAATCTGAACAAAAATAATCATTATACTGAGTTTACTGCAGTACAAGTATGGTATGTTTATTTTAACCGATTTGCAGTAATTGCCGTTGTAATGGCTGTGTTACAAAATCATTGGTACTCAGGGTTCTTATTAAGTATTTGGTGTGTTATGATGGCTATGTTACAAAATCATTGGTACTCAGGTCTTCTATTAGTATTTTCAGTAATTTAAAGAGATGTAAAGTGCATGAATGATCTTTAGTTTTTATTTAAGAAATTGGCAGATAGACTTTGTACTTGCAGTAAATGTTTATTTTAGAAAGCACATATGTAAAAAATTTCTTCACCATTTGAGCCATTCTGATATTAACACTTTTACTGTCCAGACCCCTGAAATGAAATTTGCTCTTGTTGTCCAAAAAATATCCCTCCTCCCCTCTCCCCCCCCCAAAAAATAATTTTTTTTTTTTCAACAAGTCGGCCGTCTCCCGCCGAGGCAGGGTGACCCAAAAAAGAAAGAAAATCCCCCAAAAGAAAATACTTTCATCATCATACAACACTTTCACCACACTCACACATAATCACTGTTTTTGCAGAGGTGCTCAGAATACAACAGTTTAGAAGCATATACGTATAAAGATACACAACATGTCCCTCCGAACTGCCAATATCCCAAACCCTTCCTTTAAAGTGCAGGCATTGTACTTCCCATTTCCAGGACTCAAGTTCGGCTATATAAAAATAACCGGTTTCCCTGAATCCCTTCACTAAATATTACCCTGCTCACACTCCAACAGCTCGTCATGTCCCAAATACTATTTGTCTCCACTCCTATCTAACACGCTCACACATGCTTGCTGGAAGTCCAAGCCCTTCGCCGACAAAACCTCCTTTACCCCCTCCCTCCAACCTTTTTGAGGACGACCCCTACCCCGCCTTCCTCCTCCTACAGATTTATACGCTCTCCATGTCATTCTACCTATATAAGTGTGTGTGTGTGTTGTGTGTGTGTGTGTGTAATATATATATTATAATATATATATATATATATATATTATATATATATATATATTATATATATATATATATATATATATATATATATATATATATATATATATATATTTATATATATACAGTGGGACCCCCGGTTAACGAACTTTTTTTCATTCCAGTAGTATGTTCAGGTGCCAGTACTGACCGAATTTTTTTCCCATAAGGAATATTATGAAGTAGATTAGTCCATTTTAGACCCCCAAACATACACGTACAAACGCACTTACATAAATACACTTACATAATTGGTCGCATTTGGAGGTGATCGTTAAGCGGGGGTCCACTGTATATATATATATATATATATATATATATATATATATATATATATTATATATATATATATATATATATATATATATATATATATATATATATATAGTGAAGCCTTTACTGGTGTATCACTCTGAAAATACCAGAGTGTTCAATAAAAACATTGTCGCCAAGAGTACTTGTGTACTTGTGTGTGATGTGGAAGGCGCTAACAATAAGGCATGGGTCACAAGGGGAATTTTCCTTGACTGGTTTAATGAAGTGTTTGGCCCCAGTGTGAAGAAATGCCTCCTGGAAAATAAACTATCATTCAAGTGCCTCCTGGTCATGGACAATGCTCCTGCTCATCCTCCAGACTTGGAAGAGCAAATAGTGGAGGAGTTTAGTTTCATCATGGTGAAGTTCTTGCCTCCTATCACCACCCCTCTCCTCCAAATGACCAGCAGGTCATTTCAAACTTCAAAAAACTGTACACCAAAGCAGTGTTTCAAAAGTGCTTTGAAGTGACCTCAGATGCTGAATTGACCCTAAGAGAGTTCTGGAAAGATCACTTCAATATCCTCCATTGCATAAACCTTATAGGTAAGGCTTTTGAGGGAGTGACTTCCAGGACTTTGAACTCTGCTTGGAGAAAATTGTGGCCAGAATGTGTACAAGAGAGGGATTTTGAAGGGTTTGGGGCTGACCCTAAGGAGCCTATGTCAGTTGTGGAATCTATTGTGGCATTGGGAATGCCCCTGGGGTTGGAGGTGAGTGGTGAGGATGTGGAAGAGTTGGTGGAGGACCACAGGGAAGAGCTAACCACTGCAGAGCTGCAAGGGCTTCATCTGCAACAGCAAGAGATCACAGCTCAGGATATTGCTGCAGAGGAAGAGGAAGAGAAATGGAGGAAGGTGCCTTTTTCAGAGATTAAGGACATTTGTGCAAAGTGGACTGAAGTGCAAACATTTATGGATGAACTTCACCCTGACAAAGCTGTTGCAGGCCATATTGGCAACATGTACAATGACAGTGTTGTGTCCCACTTCAGACAAATATTAAAAAAATGCCTGAAACAGAGCTTTCTGGACAGATATTTTGTGTGACAGGGGTCCAGTGACTCTCAGGTTGTTCCAAGTGTCTTTAAAAAAACAAAGAAGGGAAGTAACACCAGATAAGGACTTCATAACTGAAGTCCTAATGGAAGGAGATTCTCCTTCCAAACAATAGTGTACACCTTCCTCCTATCCCCCCCTCCTGTCTTCCATCCACCCAGAAGTCTTCAGTAAAGGTAAGTGTAATGTTGTTATTATTTTTTATATGTATGTACTTGATTTCTCATTGTTTTCAGTATGTAAATCTTTATTTAATTTGAAAAAAAGAAATATTTTAACATTTTTGGGTGTCTGGAACAGATGAATTTTATTTCCATTATTTCTTATGGGGAAAATGGTTTTGCCATTCGGCAATTTCGACATTCGGCAGACTCTCTGGAATAGATTAATTACGAAACTCGGGGGTTCCACTGTATATATATATATATATATATATATATATATATATATATATATATATATATATATATATATTATATATATATATATATATATACACAGTGGACCCCCGCTTAAAAGATCACCTCCCAATGCGACCAGTTATGTAAGTGTATTTATGTAAGTGCGTTTGTACGTGTATGTTTGGGGGTCTGAAATGGACTAATCTACTTCACAATATTCGTTATGGGAACAAATTCGGTCAGTACTGGCACCTGAACATACTTCTGGAATGAAAAAATATCGTTATCCGGGGGTCCACTGTATATGTATTTATTGGGATATTGGCAGTTTGGAGGGATATGTTGTGTATCTTTATACGTATATGCTTCTAAACTGTTGTATTCTGGGCACCTCTGCAAAAGCAGTGATAATGTGTGAGTGTGGTGAAAGTGTTGAATGATGATGAAAGTATTTTCTTTTTGGGGATTTTCTTTCTTTTTTGGGTCACCCTGCCTCGGTGGGAGACGACCGAATTGTTGAAAAAAAAAAAAAAAAAAAATATATATATATATATATATATATATATATATATATATATATATATATATATATTATATATATATATATTATAATATATATTATTTTATTTATCACACTGGCCGATTCCCACCAAGGCAGGGTGGCCCGAAAAAGAAAAAACTTTC